ATCACTTTTTCACTTTTCAAGAGCAAAACTCAAATCCTCTCAAGTAGCATCCGAATTTTCCTTCTTGATCTTCAACTTCTAAGTGTTTCTAGCCCTAGTAAGTTTATATATTACTTAATCTAGTGATCTAACATGATTCCATCCGTGAAATCATTCCAAAAGCGTAGATCTTCAAGTTTCACCAAGAACACACACTAGTGTTCTTGGACTTTTAGCACCTTTTCAAGCTTCTACCTAGTAAGTACTCCTACCCTAGTGTATTATAAAGCTTGTTACACTTCTAAACATCAAGAAAACACCCAAGAAACACAAGATCAAGGTGTTTACGGTCCAAGATGTTCTTGGACCGTAAACCCTATTAAGGGTGCCAAAGTGTGCCCTAGTCCCTTCTAAACCTTGGAAACTAGTCTAGACCCTTCCTTATTGTGCTTAGGACTCAAAACAACCAAACGACCATAATCATTTGGGTTTACGGCCGTAAACCCAAAGGGAAATGGTCTAAGGACCGTAAACTCCTAAAAAGGAGTGAAATGGTGCCCTAATCCCTTCCTAAGGCTTAAACATGAAGTAGGAATGCTTCTTGTGATCTTTAAGGCTTCAAAACACAAATGGTCAAAGAAACATGAGTTTACGGCCGTAAACTCATGGGTTTACAACCGTAAACTCAAGGAGTTATGGTCACAAAACCGTAAACTCAAATAAAGGGTTCCCTTGAACCCTAAACTCAATAGCAATGTCCTACAACACTTAGATACGATCCTTAGGACTTATAGCACTTATATAAGGTGTTTTACATGTCCTAGGATGTCATAACTTTGTTAATTAGTTGTTTAAAGACTAATTGGATACATATATGTGATATTATATGTTAATTAGGATCATCGTGTGTGTACAAGTCTTCACTTGACACCTAGCATCCTATACATTCCGTTCATCCAAACCACTCACTACAGGTGAGTTCATACCCCTTAATTAACCTTTTAAATGTTTTTAAATGCTTTTATGGGGGGGGGGGGGAATACAAGTTGAACAATTATAGTTATTATATCAATCACATGTGATTAATAACTACCAAACAAGTGGATTTCTTACTTTTCAAACTATGTTACCAAACTGTTTTACTTCAAACTGTCTTACAAACTCTTTTACATACCAAATGCTTTTATCAAACTCTTTTACATGTTAAATACTTTTACTTAAATTCTTTTAACTTATATTCTGTGTATCTATATAGATATAGTTATATAAGTAGGATTGAAAGGACTTAGGACTGATAGCTCACCTTACTTCCTGTTCCTTGTTTGGTTGTGGACTTAGGGCATTCAGGTTATTTGTCCGAAGGTCGTTTGAATCCTACTTATATATCATGTAAATGTGTATAGATATAAAAGGTTACTTCTTTCATTCAGTTCAATGCCTTTGGGTAGCAAAGGTATACAAACATGTTCATATACACAAACAACATTACTAGTAAACTATAATAGGTATGGTTTAGGAAGATACTATTACTAGAACAATGAAACATTCAATGAGTCAGTTCATTCATGAGTAATACATAGTGATGAGAAACAAACATAATACATAGTAATGAGAAACAAACATAATACATAGTGATGAGAAACCAACATAATACATAGTAATGAGAAACAAACATAATACATAGTGATGAGAAACAAACATAATACATAGTGATGAGAAACAAACATAATACATAGTGATGAGAAACAAACATAATACACAGTGATGAGAAACAAAACATACAGGCTAGACAGAGAAAGAACACACAACACAGCTAGCACATACATATACATATACATATACATTACTTACAGTTATGTGAGCCACTTAACGGGGGGACATGACACTACCTGTCATGACCCGTTTTGTATCCAGAATCTCCTTAATTGGGGAGCGTATGAGTTTGTGTATAGATCTATACTGGATTGACTATCCTACACCTTGCTGCTTGCTACAGTGGGACTTGCAAGTCTACGGGTGCCAAACGTCATTTCTTACGGCGTCTTACATCGTCGTTTTACTAGAGTCGGTAGCAGGATACAGGCCGATCACATGGTACTTTAAATAACAATTAGTTTAAAGTAGTTAGTACAGCAGTAGTTACTTAATACAACACTACAATACTATTTTATTTTCCTTTTACATTTACTTTGTGATATTCACACAATAAACAATAATGTAAGAACTATATTTTTGGTTAATGATAGTCAGATTTGGGAAAATACACACTCTTACAAGAGACACACACACAGAGACACTAGATGCCTTGGTAGAAGGCTACTTTTAGTAGGAAACATAGGGTTTTCTAGGAGAGTTCAAACAAATACAAACTTTTACAAAACTTATACATTACAAACATCTTACAAATGCTTTCATACAAACACAGACACTAATATACTTATGATCTCACCAGCTTTAAAGCTGATCTACACTTTCAAAATAAGTTGTATTCTCAGGTCACCAGTAGACAGGTACCGGTGCCAGGTTCTGAGAAGATGGAGCTCGTTCAAGACTCATCTTTTATTTTTGATGTATATTTTTGGTGTCTATATAACTTGACAGAACACACTTGTATGAAATTATATTATTAATGCAATGGATGATGTTGTTGCTTGTTTACTACTTTGCATTGTTGTGATACTGAACATGACGTCCTCCACCCCCGAACCTTTCCGCCGTTCCGGTTTTGGGGTGTGACAAAGTGAAGTTGCCCCAAATACTTGCACGGCATAAAGGATGGGAAGATCAAACCCTCATTCGCAGGTATTTATACTATTCTGTCTAATAACTCATCAAATGCTAATTCTTGGGTCCTTGATACAGGATGTGGTTTACACATGTGTTCTGATTTGCAGGGTCTAAAAAGAAGTATGGATGTGGAGCACGCGAAGATGAACTTAATCATGGGGAATATGGGAAAGTCGTCTGTCACCAAGATTGGAGTTTATTCTTTGTTGCTTAGTAATGGTTTAAAATTAGATTTGAATAATTGTTGCTACTTGTCTGATATGGCGAGAAATATTATTTCTTTTCGCAGTTTGTATGAACAAGGTTTTAACTTTTCTTTTAATAATGAAATTGGTTCAATAAATTCTTTTTCTAATGGTGTATATTATTTTGAAGCATTACCTTGCAATGACATGTATGAAACTGTGATGGTTGTAGATAACTTAGGAAATAATGTATTGCATATGGATTCGTCCAATAGTTTGGATAAAGCATGCTTATGGCATTGTCGTCTTGGACATGTCAACAAGAAGCACATAGCCCAACTCCAAAATGATGGAGTATTGGAGTCATTTAAATTAAATTCGGATGACACTTGTGAATCTTGTTTGCTTGGAAAGATGACCCCGTCACCCTTCACTAGAACTTGTGCAATGGATGAGGGACTGTTGGATCTCATATACACCGATGTGTGTGGACCCTTCAGAACCACCACAAGGGATGATAACTGCTTCTATGTGACTTTTACTGATGATTATAGTAGATATGAGTATGTCTACTTAATCAAGCATAAGTTAGAAACTTTTGAAAAGTTCAAAGAGTTTAAGCAAGAAGTGGAGAATCAATTGGACAAAAAGATAAAGATACTTCGATCCGATCGAGGAGGAGAGTATCTTAGTATCGAGTTCCACGACTATCTTAAGGAATGTGTAATTGTTTCACAATTGACACCACCTAGGACACCACAGCTTAATGGTGTGGCCGAGAGGCACAATCGAACCTTGTTAGACATGGTTCGTTCTATGATGAGTCGAGCTTCGTTACCTATCTCATTCTGGAGGTATGCCTTAGAGACTGCCGCCCATATCCTTAATCTAGTCCCAACTAAAAAGGTTTCCAAAACACCTCACGAGGTGTGGACAGGGAAGGTTCCCTCGCTAGACCACATAAAGGTTTGGGGTTGCGAGGCTTTCGTAAGACGAGAGACTCACGACAAGCTCGAACCTCATAGTGAACGATGTATTTTCATCGGCTACCCACAGAAATCCTTTGGATATCTCTTCTATAGACCGAGTGACAATTTTGTCTTCGTTGCGAGGAGAGGAGTCTTTCGCGAGAGAGAACTCATATGCCAAGACGACAGTGGGAGGCAAATTGACCTTGAATAGCTTCAAGAGTTAAGTGATGAAGGAACCTCAAACACTAGCACCCAACCCGAGGAGGAAACTCCTGTTGAACCAATTGACGAGTCCTTACCTCTGAGGCGTTCCAGTAGAGTTAGACAGGCACCTGAGTTTTATGGTTTCCATATTACTACTGAAGGTGACACATTTATCAGTGATAGTACACTGGTAAACTTGGATGAACCTAACAACTGCAAGGAAGCCATGACAGGCCCCGAGTCTGCTAAATGGAAAGAGGCAATGGACAGCGAGATTCAGTCCATGCATGACAATCAAGTTTGGAACTTGGTTGACAATGTATCAGGCCGTAAGACAGTCGGGCCCAAATGGATCTTCTTGAAGAAGACCGACATGGATGGGAAAGTACACACATATAAGGCACGATTGGTTGCGAAGGGCTTTACTCAAACTCCTGGAGTTGACTATGATGAGATCTTCTCACCAGTGGCTAAGATTAAATCTATAAGGGTTATGCTAGCCATAGTTGTATTTCATGATTATGAAATATGGAAAATGGATGTCAAAATCGCTTTCCTTAATGGGAAGTTGGCTGAAGATGTTTACATGAATCAGCCTGAGGGTTTTGTCAATGCAAAGTAACCTAATAGAGTGTGTAAGCTTGAGAAATCCATTTATGGATTGAAACAAGCATCTCGCAGATGGAATCTTTGTTTCGATGAGAAAGTCAAAGAGTTTGGATTTTCGAGAAGCGATGATGAGTTTTGCGTATATGTCAAAGCTAGTGGGAGTATAGTTAGCTTTCTCGTGTTGTATGTGGATGACATACTGATCACAGAAAACAACATTCCAACCTTGCAGGAGGTTAAGTCATGGCTTGGGAAGTGTTTCGCTATGAAGGACCTCGAAGAAGTTGCTTACATTCTAGGGATAAGGATATTGATAAACAGGAGTAAAAGACTAATAAGACTTAGTCAAAGCACCTACTTGGATAAGGTGTTGAAACGATTCAGCATGGAGAATTCCAAGAGCGGAAACTTACCTATCCAGAGCAATACCAAACTGAGTAAGACTCAGAGTCCGAGTATAGAGGCTGAGATAGAAGAAATGAGTCGAGTACCATATGCTTCCGCAGTTGGCTCGATCATGTATGCTATGACATGTACTCACCCTGATGTGGCCTTTGCTCTGAGCATGGTCAGCAGATATCAAGGGAACCCTGGTAAATCTCACTGGACTACGGTAAAGAACATTCTTAAGTACCTGGGAAGGACTAAGGACTGGGTCCTTATCCTTTGTGGGAGTGATGACTTGAGAGTGACAGAGTATAGTGACGCCAGCTTTCGGACCGACAGAGATAATTTCCGCTCTCGGTCGGGCTGGGAATTTACCCTTAATGGAGGAGCAATAATATGGAAAAGTTCCAAACAGGAAACTGTGGCTGATTCAATGTGCGAATCAGAGTACATAGCAACAAGCGAAGCAGCAAAGGAGGCAATATGGTTGTAGAACTTCATTGGAGACCTTGGAGTTGTACCAGATGTAAAGGAGCCTATGGATATTTTCTGTGACAATGAAAGCGCAGTTGCCTTAGCCAAGGAACCAAGGGATCATGGCAGATCAAGGTGCATCGATAGAAAATATCACTTTATAAGACATCAAGTAAAAGAAAGATTACTCGTAGTGAAGAGGATATCATCAGAGAATAACCTAGCAAATCCCCTTACAAAGGGACTCAGCAGGGAAAAGCACTTGCTGCATGCAAGGAGTATTGGGCTGAAGGACGATATTAGTTTTAATGATTAGATAGATATCTAGAAACTTGTAATAGCTAAAATGTAATTGACATTTGATGATTGAACAAAAGGAGTTTTATTTATAAGTAAAGTTACTATCTTGTGTCAATATTTACTATTCTTTCATTTTGCATGTTTTGACTTCCAGAATAACAAGATTATTCAAACTATCCACAGTCGATCATACTTTGGAAGTAGGTATGTAAGTAGACTGTCATGAATGGGTTTTGTAAGATTGTCTAAGGAGTTAGACATTGCAAAGGTTTGCTACAACATTCATGAGTACTCTTGAAATAAGATTTGAGTATTGGATCAACCCACACTCACATGAATCACTTCATGGAATTTATCACGAGTGATTGTGAGATGATAATATCGTATAATTTTCAAACCGAGATATATGGGTTGTTGATTATGAGTTGGTTGTACATTGATAGTGCGAAAACGCATCAGTAACTCAATGTTATAAAACGCGCTGTTATGTATGATTTAACAAATAGTTAGTACAAGCATATAAGTCGAAGTTTATCTGTTCCTTTTATCCTAAGAGGATTAAAAGCAATATCTTGGGCCCCTCGATGATTTTTTTTACTTATGTGTCAGGCCCGGTCAGGACTAAATTGATGTGTTCAATTAAGTTCTATGTCAAACAAATCAAAAATCGGGAAAAAAACTGCTGGACAATAAGTATGACTATATTCCATGTATTTGTCCGCATGATATCTTGAAGAACAAAGGATTATATGATCCCTTATCTAAATGGCGCGTCAGGATTCGACATTGGCTTTTAGAGAGCTACGATTGCTACTCGGGTTTTAAAGAACATTGGAAATTATAGTTATTAGACTTATCCAAGTGGGAGACTGTTGGATTAGGTGTTTAAGCCCATAATTATAATTGGTATGTACTTGACCTGATAATAGCATGGTCCATTTGGGTTGTAACACTCTGGAACAATTTGATAGGATGGATACTTGAAGAAGAGGTTATTGTGATTTATTAATATATTATAAGTATAATATATTAACTGAGGAATCACATTATTTAATTAGTATTGATCAATAATTAATTTGGTATTAATTTAGTGATCAAAAGAAACTAATTAAAGTTACGGGGACTGATTAAGTAAATCAGTAATTCTTGTAGTTGGACTCATGACTCATGTTGATTAGAGTTGGACTAAACCTATATGCAAGTCCATAAAGGTTTAGCTCAAAGGGCCTACAAAATATGAAGGGTCATGGTGGGTTAGGGTTTGCATGGATGTAAACCTAGACTATATAAGAAACTCCTAACACCTAAAACCGGTTACCCCATGCACACTAAGAGTTGCTAGCTGATTTTGAGCTCCCACGCCTTTCTCTCAAGTCCATTCTCTTGTTCTTGGTTTGTTATAAGACATTTTGGGCATCACACTTGAGGTGCTAGGCTCCTAAAGGTCAAAGACAAGCAAGCTACTACACAAGGTACTCTTCTAATTGTTTTTATGTTTTAAATGTTACTTTGCATGCTAGTTTAGGCTTTATGCTTTGGAAAAACAATGTTGCATGTATAATTAGAGAAAACTTAGATCCAAAGCATTAGGGTTGTATGTGCACCATAGGAATGTTAGAGTACATAAATCCCATCAACATCGACATTTCAAGCAGTGACGGACGCAGAAAGTTCGAGTAGTGGTGACACCCAAAAAAAGTTCAAACAAATATAACTCAAAGTGACACTCATATTTCAAGACGTTGCACCCAATAGAAAAACAATTGTTTTTAACACTAACTGTCGGAGTTGAAGTAGTGGCTCAGGACCTCCCTGGCTCCACTAATGCTCACCAATGATTTAAAGACAACACATTGTAACACCCGATTCAAGGTACTTTTCATTTTTGATCATTGATGTGTATAATTGGTTTTCAAATATGGTCCTTAGGGGGCATTTTTTCCATTTTCAGAAAATTGGGGGTATGTTGGGCGTACGCACCCATGGGACAAACCCTAATTTTTAGGGTTTGAACCCTATTTAAAAAACGTTATGACCCATTATCCCCTTATTTCTCAACCTCCACCGGCCTTTGAGCCTCATTTCAAAACCCTAGCCCCTCTAGAGAAGATTTGACCCTCTTTGTGTGTGTTTTAGTGTGTGTTGGTGAGCTTTGAGGAAGAAGAGTGTTGAAGAAGGAGCTTTGATCAAATGAGAGCTTTTAGATCTAGATTTTACTCATCATTTCCAGTTTCATTGAGGTATAAAGCTTGGAACTTGCTCATTGTATGCTTAGATCTAGTATTATGAAGTTTTCGTCACTTTTGGTCCCATGAATGAGATCTAGTGGGAATTCTTCCACTCCATAAATTAGGAGTTGCTTCTCTTGATGTTTCTGAGGTTTCTATTTCATAAAGTTAACATCTTGATGGTTGTGGATCAACCATGCATGTGTTTGTATTCATTTGGCGAAAGTAGAATGCTAAATCTTAGGTTTGAGACCATGCAAAGGCTCCAAGTTAATGAATTTATGAATTAAGATGTCCCACAAGGCTTGGATATGAAGTTTGGACATTTGGCTACTAGCATTAAGTGCTAAAAGGGAAAAGTGTTTAATGGGCGCGTACGCTGGGTGTAGGCAAGCGTACGTTGCGTGTACGTGTTCGAGTCCCTGATCAGGCGCGCTGCCTAGTACGTTGGGCGTACGTCTGGTACGTGCAGCATACCATGCCTGGTCTTGGACTTTGCATTTTGGGCCATGTTTGGCCTACTAGGATTTTGGGCCTTGTTGGGCCACTAGCCTTTCTGAATTTGGACCATTGTTAGGGTTTGGTCCTTCTTGGATTTGGGCCCATATTGAGCTTTGGGTAACCCTTAGGAAATTGGGCCACTATTAGCCTTTTAGTGTCATTGAGCTGGGCCTCAGATATTGGGTCAGGTGAGGAAAGGGTAAAATGGTCTTTTACCCTCGTTGTTAGACCAATGAACTAGATTCCCGGTTATGGATTATGACCTGGTTATTAATTGGGGTTTTATTTGGTTGGTTAGTGCGGGGATTCTCCGGTTCAACAGCTCGAGCATCTATTGACTGATAGAAGACTGAGGTGAGTTTGCTCACTATACCGTAGGGCACTAGGATATGTTATGTGTTTGTAGTCTTTGTGACTCCTGATGTATGTGTTGTATGCATGTGTGCCTGTTTGCTATATGTGTGTGGGGTGAAATAGACTCGGTACAGCCTTGTGTTGACATATGAGTTGAAATAGACTCGGATGTGAAATAGACCCGGTACAGATTGGGGCCGACGCATGAGTTGAAATAGACTCGGGGGTGAAATAGACCCGGTACGGCTTGGGGCCGACGCATGAGTTGAAATAGACTCGGGGGTGAAATAGACTCGGCATAGCCTTGAGCTGACATATATGTGTGGTATGCGGTATTTTGGGGAACTCACTAAGCTTCATACTTATGGTTTTTAGTTTACGTTTCAGGTACTTCCGGGTCGAAGGGGAAGAGCTTGGGATGATCGCATCACACACACTCCATGATTTTTCCACTTTATTGACTCTGATGTAGTTTGGATGGTTATTGATACCCTATGACTTTTTATAGGTTTGTTTATCACGATGGTTGATGTTTATTTAATATAAAAACGAAAATTTTTGGTTTTGAATTTTGGGACGTTACAAGTTGGTATCAGAGCCTTGGTTTGAGGATTCAAGCATACTCTCAGGTGTGTCTGAATTCAAACTGAGGGTTTGGTAAATTTTTCATAAAAGGAATATTTTATAAAAATGGATTTTTCTAATAAAAGAAAAGGGTATGGTGCGTGCAATCAGCTGAGCTCAAGTAAGTATTCCCAAAACACTCATACATGTTTTGTGTTATGTTTTGAATTGTGAATATGTGAATCGCATGTTAGATTAGGGCTAAGGATTTGCTCGGGATTGCATGATAGGATGCTAGGAGATATGTGTTTATATTCCTATTATATGAGCTTGTAGACTTGCATGCTAGTACCGATCAGTCAGTGATAGGATTGCATGTTTGGGTTATGTTTTGATTCTGATTACTTGATGCTCGAATGTTGCTTGCTTTGTGCTTTTAGGACTTCCCATTAACATCAGCTAACTAGTAAGCGAATATGTTAAGTTACATATTATTGAGACTAAATAATTTTAGAAGGTTAGGTTTTACCTCTATTGCGCAACTCTTGTTTGACTCCAGGCGTTGTAGTGTGAGACCTTTCATTCGAAGAATTATCTGGCATCATTGGTATGTAATTGTATTCGTAATCTAGTTAAAGGGTGTTAGGGGGAGTTCCTTCTGCAGCTGATGGCGTAGAGTGGTGAGGTGGTAGCCCTAGGAAAAACCTAGGAGGTGATTCGATGTCGAGAGTCTGGTCTTGTTGAGGGTTGTTTGAATTGATAAGGGAGTGACTTGGAGGATTCGGGCGTAACACCCTGATGTTCAGGTACTTTTAAATTCATCCTTATAATTTAATTCATCTCATTTTGGTCCCTGTAGTGGAAGGAAGTAGCCATGAGAAGCCCTAATGGCAAAATCATAATTTGGAAGGAATGCGAGTACGCCATGTGTACGTGTGTACGCTTAGCGTGCTAGGGCGCGCCCTAGTACGCTGCACGTACGTGCATGTACGCGGGGCGTACTCATCAGATATTGAAAACCCTAATTTTTAGGGTTGGGCCATATATAATCCCCCTTATAACCTCATTTCCC